TTTGGTAAACAGATTTGGAGCAGCAGACATCTGGAACGCGTCATGCTCAGTGCTGTAGAAGATAGAGGGCTGTTTGAGGTTTAGACCCCTCCTGGGGAGGACAGCGCTTTGATGAAGCTACCTGCCTACGCTTGTGACAGGTGGAGGCCGTGGGGCTGTGTCCGGTGTGCAGATGCTAAAGACAGGGAGATAGGAGTTTGGGAAAGGAGTCAAGCTCTGCTTTCTCTAAAACCTTTTAACCGGGAAACCCTGGGCTCCTCAGAGTCAGAATCTTCGGTTTGGGAGTCAAGCATCTCCATCTTTAATGCATTCCTGTAGTCCTTCTAAAGCATGCTTATATTTGAGTGCCGCTGGCTCTAACCTCGGACACTCCTAGGCCAGAGGGCCCCCCCTTCATCATGTGCAGACTTGGGACCCCTGAGGCAGACACAGTGGGCATAGCTGTGGGGCATGGGGGAGGTACCCCATTTGTTTCAGAGGTCTGACTTTTCCTGGGGTCCCAAGTCAAGTCTTCCCAGTCCCAGGGCTATCTCTTCGCTGCCCCCGCTTCTGCCTGGACCCCTTCCTGGCCCCATTGGCTTCAGCTCCCAAGATCCCAAGGATCTTGATAATCCTTGAGCCAAAGTTCTTTGACTATTTTAAATTAAAATAGGTGAGCCATGTCTCCTTTTGACCCCGGGGTCAGATTCTCTGCTCTTCGCATTGCTACTTGGCCCTCAAGGTCTGAGGAGCTGCCTGGGAATCCTTTTGGCCTTCGGTCTCCCTCCTGCCAGTGCTGGAGGCAGGGCAGGGTCCCCGGAGCTGGTGACGTCAGCTTCTCCAGGCCATCTGCCCGACTTCTCCCTCCCGGCATATCTACAGTGCGAAGAGTCCAGCTTCCCTACCTCCTGCTGCCCCTGCGCACAGGGTAGTTGGTGGGCCGGTGGGTCAGTGAGGGGAGAGTGCGCTCCCAAAGTCCCTGGCTGTTAGAGTCTCCAATTTCAGATTTCACCACAGCAGCAGTGCTCCTGGCACCTCCCCTCCCCCCTCCCCCACCAGGAGC